AAAATTAGTAATAATTTTTTTTTTATTAAAAATATTATATTTTAAAACATTTATTTAAAAATTGTAAATATTGTTTTTACAATAAGTTAGGCCCTCTCTGAGGGCCTAGAGGGCCCTGACGGTTCCCCACTGGAAAAGACAAGTACACACACACACACACAATCAAAGAAACATCCAGAAAGCATAAAACTTCATTTGCACCAGGAGGGGCGTCCATGCATTAAACAATAGCGCTGTCCAGAGGTGGGACCAAGTCATTGTTTTGCAAGGCCTAACTGAACGGAAGAATTATGGTATTCTTCTGTAGCCTGACGACAAGTAACTTTAACCATTGTTCATGTGAACTCAAAGACAGCCGGATGCTTTGTTTATAGAGTATTTGTGGGTGGCTGTTTGTTGTTTCACCTATCAATTCGTGTCGATAAAGTATAATAGGGTAAATCCTGTATAGTGATTTATCCCATATAGTGCTTGCATAAAGCAAGTAGTGCATACACGTGTAGCTGTTATGTATCGTTGTAAGTCATTGTAAGCCCCACGCGCAAGCGCACGAACCCCCCCGTTATAAAAAAAAAAAAAGGGCTCCCCCAAAGTTCACGGTATAGTTCGAACACTGAGGCGGAGCATTGTTGATTTTGTCTCTTTCAACGTCTCTGTCAGTGTTTAAACTATCTGGACACTCAGTTGGGAAAACGGATCTTAATTCTTATTCAGAGTGGAATGACAGCTTAGAAGTTCAGAAGGTATACTTTAGTGCTCCCAAGACAGCACTTTCTCAGGTTTAACTTTATTACAGAACATTTCAAGTATATAATTTTCCCCTTGCCAAACTCCACGGAGGTTCTAGGACTCCTCTCTGATGTCAAGGATTCCCACTAGGCCACTCAACTGAAGATGACACACAATAATTCATATTCAGACATTTAAAGACAAAGGCATAAAGATCCACTGTAATGCATTCCAAACAAACCACTGGAGCAATCTTTTAACTGTTTGACTGTATCGATGGAAATTGAACCACTGAGCTATTCTTCTGTCTATTATTACCAATTACATTAGTGTCGTGTGCAGAATAAATGTGAAGGGCCTGCACAAATGGAATATGTAGTTTTAGCTGTTTATGCTGCTCAAATGCACTACACTCTTCGCTTGACAAATCTGTTATTTATTTTTTTGGTTAATGACATCGTTGGATGCAACCCAAACAGATTATTTCATTAGACAACAAAGGAAACTGATTTTACAAATTATATTTTTGTTTGAGTACTGCTGTTTTGTCTTTATTTGTTTTGAACTAAGCATTTAAATATCTTCCCTGTCATGTTGCAGTCATAGCAAAATTTACTTTTATTGCCTAATGTATGGACATAAAAAATAGACTTGCATTATCTTATGTAAACTCATTTAATCCTGTGACTAATAGAGTAAAATCGCACTATATTCGTTCTCTGCCAGTTTTCACACTCCTTTTTCCTTTTACCGAGAGCTGGCATTAGTCCACTTTACCAACAAACAGCTTTACCTTAATCCTTTTGAGACCCTTGGACCATATTCAGACTCTATCTGCTCTAGGGGCATCATAGTGTGGATGGCCAAATGTTTTGACCCTCCTTTCTGTCTTTAAATGAATTCGTAGGTGGGTCTGTGGTGAGATCAGATGAAGTTTGGACCTTACAAATCATTATAATCCCTCCATGAAAAACTGTCCAGGGGCGGAAAATAATCGTTCTCTTCCAAACTTTTAGTTTGTAAAAAAAATAATTTAAAAAAATGGCTGAACAGAGAACAGACATGCATGCTAAACTTTCAGCTGCCAGTACAATCATTTCAGTGTTCCGTATGGTTGCTTTCACTGCCAGTCAATTTTTCACCTGGTTGCTCAGTCATGGCTGATCGTGCAACAATAGATATTGCTGAAATGTTTGCTTTAAGTTTTAAGATTTAAGTTTAAGATAAGGTTCAGTTATGAAATATGTTTTAATAACTGCATTCTTATTATAGATGCAGAATATAAAGATGTATATAATGGTGATCAAAAGTTTGGAATAATTAGTAATAATGAGAAATGTTTCTTGAGCAGCAAATCATCCAAAATTCAGCTTTGCCATTACACAAATGAATTACATTTTAAAATATATTCAAACAGAAAAGCATTCTTTTAAATTGCAATAATATTTCACAATATTACTGTTTTTACTGCATTTTTGATCAAATAAATGCAGCCTTGGTGAACATAAGAAACTTAAAAAAAGTCTTAATTATTTCAAACCTTTGACTATCAGTGTGTTCTGTTTACATTATATTATTTGTATAATATTTTATATTAATATATTTAATTAAATCTAAATTATTATAAATATTATGTGTACACTACTGTTAAAAAGTTTGGAGTCAGAAAGATTTTGTTTTGTTAATAGATTGATTTTTAAATGTAATTTATTCCAATGATGGAAAAGCTGAATTTTCAGCAGCCATTAATCCAGTCTTAAGTGTCACATGATCCTTCAGAAATAATTCTAATATGCTAATTTTCAGATCAAGTATAATTTCTTCATAATATTATTGTCAAAGTTGTGCTGCTTCATATTTTTGTAAACACCGCAATACATTTTTGCAGGATTCTTCAATGAAGAGAAAGACAGCATTTATTTGAAATAAAAATCTTCTATTATATATATATATATTTACTTCCACTTTTAATCATTGTAATGCATGCTTGATGAATAAAATGTTTCATTTCTTTTTAAAAAGAACTTACTGACCCCAAACTTTTGGATAGTAGTGTATATACATAAAGTTATTGAATAAGACCAAATGTGTTAGGCATGCTGAATCAGCACACAAAAATTAAGACATAAATGCCACTATGGGCTGCCTGTCTGCAGTGATTTAAACCATCACCGCAAGGTGAACAGTGCCTCACCCAGTAGCTAAACACACACAGTCGGTTGATCATCAGATGGTCTTCGGGTCTACCTGCGGGCCAGGCTGCCTGCCTGAGTCCTCTCACTGTCACTCAGCATCCCTCTGCAGGCTGATGGAAAGACACTACCAGCTCTGTCAGTCACCAGCTGACACGCACCCATCTGACTGAGGTAGATCATTCTGATTAAAGATGATTTTCACTTCCAGATCTTGACTTAAACAAAGTCAACTTTGGCACTTAAGTGAAATATAATACTAATAAGTTATAATACTTTCTATCCTAGTTTCATGTGTGGAGACAACTTTAAGTAAGCCATTTGTAAGTTGACTTACCGAAAAGTGTAAATGCTGCAGCTCTGCGGCACTCTCAAAATATTGATCTTTTTGCTTGTGCAGTCAACTTTAGGCTCAGCCAAACCTTTTTAGCAAGCAAAATATGTTTAGGAAACCTGTTTGAGAACGATCACTGCTTCATTATTTTTGCAATTCCATTTGATGCCACTAGTAGAACACAGAAATTACAGATCACATGAAATTGATGGAAGGCATGATAACCCTGTACACATCTCAGCGTCTCGGGCAGAGAACACCCTGGACAAATGGCCAGTCCATCATATATAATATTTTAAACCTAAATGGTTAGAAATATGTGTACTGTACTGTTAAAAAATTTGGGTTCAGTAAGATTTTATATATACTTTAAAATGTAATTTATTCCTGTGATGGCAAAGCTGAATTTTCAGCAGTCATTACTCCAGTCTTCAGTGTCACATTATCTTTCAGAAATAATTCTAATATGATGATTTGGTGCTTAATACATATTTCTTATTATCAGTGCTGAAAAAAGTTGTGTTGCTTAATATTTTTGTGGAAACCGCAATACATTTTTTAGGATTCTTTGATTTTTTTTATTTTTTTAAATCTTTTGTAACATTAGATATGTCACTTTTGATTTATTTAATGCATCTTAAAAACATCTTACTGACCCCAAACTTTTGAACGTTAGTATATTCACATGCCATTTACAGCTCAGGTTATTGGCTGAAAACAAGCTGGCTGCTGAACTTATAGCACCCATGAACCAAGATGGCATGTGTCCAAATGTCCTGCTCAGCGCACTGCTTTTGAGATGAATGGGAATGGTAAAAAAATAACATTTCCATGTATTATAGACCTTTTTGCTTTCTACATAAAATAATAAATTAAAAATATTTCTCACAAAATTTCTCAAAAAAAAACAAAAAAACAACAACAACAACAACAACAAAAAAAGACTTGGATGAAATGTCCTTTTTATGTATAAAAAGCACCTCAAAAGTCTAAACCTCATTTTAAATCAGTGAAGGGACCTGATACAGATAATAGCCCTCTTGTGCTGTTTTATGTCTGATTGTGAAGAATGTTTCCATTTCACAACAAAAGGTTGTTGTGAAATGGAAACATTCTTCACAATCAGACATAAAACAGTCCCAGAGGGGCAACTATTTGGAACACTAAGCATGCAAATGCTCGGCAGGACATACCTGCCTTACAGAAATCCTATTACTATTACCAGGGTAGATTTAGACTAATCTCCTGTACCGCTACTTCAGCTGCCACCACTTTGAACAAATGTCAAATTAGTCAGTAAGTCAGGTCATTTTTTTTTACTTTTGCAGTACTGATAATGGAAAGTGAAACCATTATGCATTGAGGATGTAGAACTGCCATGTTGTTCAGAGTGAGAGAGAGTTTCCATAGTGACCCGCTCCATTTATACACTAGAATGCATAAGGATGCATGCTGTTATTTACAAATTTATACATTATGAGGCCTGGGGTGTCTCTTTAGCTGCTCATAATCCTGAGGCTGTAACACGTCATGGTTTAGCGATTATATTAGTAGAAATCTTGATGTTCCTGCTCAGATCAGAGAGTGAGTCAGTTTGCTGTAGGCTAACTCTCACACACACTGCCTGCACTAATCAGAATTACAGTTTCATCTGCTCACTAATTTCCCTGTGATAGTGGAACGGGAATATTTCATCTGTCTCCCTTATTATCTTTTTGCTCCAAATCCGACACACAGTTTGTTCTCTTTCAATGCTTGAGAGAGGGTGGCGTGTAGCCGCAACGTTTTCCCATGTTCAATAGAGACATCAACTTTCTCTCTTTCACCTTACACCCCCATTCTTTACTCCCTCACCCACCATCCCCCCATCTTTTTGTTGCATTTTCTTGTGAAGTTGGCACACTTCAAAGCTCGCGGATTGACAGGAACGTAGACTAAAAGCTCCCATTCATCTAGCGGGTGGAATTAGGTTGCCGTCTCTCTCAAGCACTACTTCAGAAAGCAGCTCTCATCTCTTTAAATATCTGGCCTCTGCATGACATCCTGGAAAGAGAGAGAAAGAGAACTAAAACTTCCTGCTAGGAGAAGCTGATAAAAGAGGAAAAAAGTAAGTGTGAGGGGAGTCGTATGGGTGCAAATTGCTATGATATCCCCCTGCAAATTTGTAAATGGGCGATGCATGTCAACAAAGATTCTTCTTTTGAGAGACTGCTGTGTGTAGCGAAGTGAATAAAGAGAAAGGAATAGGTACAAAGAGAAAACAAATGAGGAAGGGAAGGACACAGAGTGACAGATGCAAACCAGAGGGGGAATAGATTTGGAGGGGAATAGTAATGAATTTGGTTACTTGACTATTCCAATAAAGAGACAGTTTAACCAAAAATGAAAGTTGTCATCAGTTACTCTCTCTCATGTGGTTACAAACCTGTATGACTTTCATTCATCTGTGCAACTCAAAAGATAAGAAAATATCTCTTACTTTTTCCATACAGTGGAAGACAATTGTAGCCAAAATAGCAAAATGGCTTGGTTGGCAATAACTTCAAAATATTATTTTTGTGTATGTGTGTGTTCTGTAGAAAAAAAAGGTTTGGAATGACATGGGGGAGAGTATATGATGACAGAATTTTCATTTTTGGATGAACTATCACTTCAATGGTTATTGTAATAATTTGAAGAAATACTTGAGGAAAAAGGCAATTCCAATGCCAACTGATAAAATAACTTAAATACTAAATTGTTTAGATAGACCTTTAAGTGATTTGCATTGTTGCATTTTAGAGGCGCCATAAATGAAAATCCAGTAATTGGCCTAAACAACAATTGACTAATATACAAAAATGTGGTGAAAAAACAAAAACGATTCATAGGAACCATTTGTTCGGAAGTTGGACTACAATGGTAGCGTTGTATGTTTTTGATTCACTAGAAAATAACCTATGTTTAATTCTTTTGTGAGTCAGACTGTATATTTTTGATTCATTAGAAAAGACCTGACTCATAATCTTTCATTTGGGAGTCAGACCTTAATAGTGGTTCCGTATGTTTTTGATTCACTAAAACTGACTCATGAGAGTCATTTGTTTTGTCATCTCACTGCATGGTTGGGCTTGATTTGGCTGCAGTGTTGCGGCACCGCTGAATAAACTCTGTTGTAGAATATCAGTGGGGTGTTCTGTTCAGATAAGTGGAAGAATATGCTTTGAGAACCAATTGAGAACCAAGGAACATAACCTCATTCGGCTCAGGTATTTTTACTCGAGCTACATGGTTTAGCTCAATTGTGAGAGCTCAAGTGCATTCTTGGATTCCCACCATTTCGGTAAGCATTTGAGGCAGGTGTCCTATTGGCTCTATTCAAATCCATGGGAAGGTATTCATAGATATTACACAGTCATTTGAAGATGCAGTGAGACGTATCTTCTCTGCCATTTTCTGTCTGGCATGCTTGAGTTTGGCACTAGACAAAATAGAACTTCCTGGTTGCCAGTCCATTGGGCTTCACTGTAGTACACACACACACACAGGCGCTCGCACTATAGTGTTCACACACCTTGGCCAGTTACCAGTCAGTAACCCCTTGGTTGCACATCCCCAGGGCCAAGTACAGCAGAGCGGACAGCTGTCTCACAGTTTCATACCTGTTATGAAGATCCCTCTAGAAAATCAATTTAGTGTTCATCAAAACACTGATAACTTGGCGAGTGCAATTATCTGTTTCTACAGATGTATTCAAATAGAACCGGATGTGGGTGCTGCTTAAACCAGAAATGAGTATAATCTAAATGAAAAGCTTATTTTTAGATGTAAATGTATTACATTTATAGTTTCTTTATACTAAATATGGTTTGTTTTAATGTTTTTATAATCTTGATTTTAAAATTGTAATCTTGACTTTGACGTCTAAACGTTGAACAATTTTTTCTGTTTAAATTGGTAATATAACAACAACAGTCTGACTTCTTGATGGCACTGTTTGTTTTTTGCATATGATTTAAAATAAATGTTTAAGTATTAACAGAAATTTTAAAAAGTGAAAAAATTATGTATGATATAGTTTCTTAGTTTTCAAAAAATTCTTTCCATATTACTCTTGACAAGTTCAGATTTCTGAGATGCACACAATCTGAGCAGCCATCCGATTTGAACTTGAAATCACATTGTTTGCATTTTAATTCATAATGTTCACTAATGGTTTGTCTTCAGTCATATTAGCTTCACAGATTAATCATTATATTGCAAATTTAGAATCTTTATTGTTAATTTAAAAATATTCATTCACCCTTGTCCTTTTTGGACAAACAGAATAAAGTTTTTTTATTCATTATTCGTTTTGAAGACATTATTAATCGTAATTCAGATATTTCTCCTTTATTTCACACTAAAAGGAAAACAGACATGATCAAGACAAACTATTATTTATGTTAAGGACCTTTCCCTGATAAAACAACACAGTTTAAGACAATGCATATGACCTTACATGTTGTTGGGTAAGATCATCCACATAAACACGCTCAGTGCTTCAAAACTCACTTATGCCGGGTATAAAATTAAACTAGTATCTAGTAAAACTAAAAAATAGTATTACTTCACAAGATGCTTGAAAATCTACATAGAGATGCCTGAACAATATTTCATACCATTTCATTTGTCGTCTACGCTTAGTGTTACCATTGCATTAGCTTGTCAGCTAACCAGATGTGTTGCATGCAAAACTGGGCTCTTTTTATCAGGTATTATTCATACCTGGTATTTAATTTTAGTAACTGTGCACCTGCCCTTGGTGCAACATATGCATTGTATCCAAAAAACAAATGGTAGTCTTAGTATGGGATGGGGAAGTGTTATTGCAAAAGGAGGGGGGAGCAGAATTTCTCCATAGAGATTAAAGATGAAGCCCAATGAGCCTGAAGACAATCAGGGTGTTGTGACGGATGTGCTTTTATAATACAAACTGCAATTGCAGTGGCAATTACCAAGGCCTGATTACAGGACTAATTGGACACAACAGGGTAATTGTTACCACCAAAGCGTTGTTGGAGTGAGTGACAATAATTGTAACAGTGTTGGGTAGCTGCAGAGTTCAAAGTTGACACAAGAGTCCCGAGGAGTGTTTGCTTATGTGTGTGTGTGTGTGTGTGTGTGTGTGTGTGTTTGGCTTTAAACTTTTATTTAACAGAGTGAGTTGTCGGTTGTTGTGGATAGTTATAAATGTTGAGTTGTGAAGTTTGTCATGTCTAGTTCACAATTCACTGGCCTTTGAACAGCTGTTGATTGTCTGCTGTGTGATGAGTCCACTCAATCATGAGAAACTTCAAAACCTCACAAACTGTCACACACACAGTAAAGTTGACAGGATGTAGTGTTATGCTTCTGTCAGACTTTGGCTGTGGGCCCTCAGGTAAAAGCAAGTTCATTAAATTTTATCGTCTGGATATGTCGAATTATTATTATATATATTTTTTAATATTACAGTATCAGTCACGCAGCTGATACAGCATTGAGTCACACTGGAGTGACTACTAGAGCAAGTCCAATGGACAGTCAGATATTTCCCATAGCATTTGCCTCCATATACAATTTCAGAAAATAAATGTCTCTGTAGATTATTTTTGTTGTGCAGAAAGTTACGGATTCATTTTGATCATAGTTCTATTGAACTTTTTTTCCATAGCCCTAGTTTTTCTGACCAGCAGTGAGGACACTGACCCAAATATTTTTATTATTTTTTTTTTAAAGGAAGGAAAAAGGTTCTCTCAGGACAAATGAACAACCCAGTTAGTTCTTTCTTGCTCTGCATTTTCCTTAAGTCAGCTGGAGTTTTCACTCACATTGTGTACACAAACATACATTTATTTTTCTATACACTTTATTATTATTATTTATAATTGACTCACCTTCATGTTGTTTCAAACATATATGGCTTTTTTTTCCTTCTGTAGAACACACAAAAAATAGATTTTAATATTGTGCTCGTTGAAGAGTGAATGAGGAGTGGAGCTTTACAGAGCTTTAAATCTCAGAAGCACCATTAAATTATCATTAAAGTAATTTTCCAAATTAGTTTGTTAAGTGACAGAGTCAAACTTGACAGTGGGATCAGCTTGATTTGTGAATGAATCATGTTGTGAACTGAATCATCTGATTCATTGAAAAAATCTGATTCACAAGAATGATGTGTTTGTGAATCAGGCATCACTTGAATATGTCAAGAAGAGTAAGTAAATGTCAAAATTTTTAGTAAATAACTTGGAAATTACAGTTTCTCAAAGCCGAAGCCGTTTTCCTCAAGGAGACCACAATCTAGATGATTTCAGGCTCCTTGTGGGCCACAGACAAAATCATGCACGCAGTCACAGCAAAGTCTAGTTCCTCTTCAGGAACTCGAGCTGCGTCGAAAACGCTAGGGGAACGCCTTCTGAGACCCACGCTCTGAATCACATGTGATTCAGTCGTCGACAGGGACCAGGAGGCTCGAAAACAAGCAGCGGCATTTCAGCGGTTCCTTCCTCGCCGGATTTCAGCTCCGGGGGCTGCTGGCGGCAGCAGTCCCCACCGCGTACCAGCTCCTCACATAGGGAGACGCAAAAACAGAGCGTTGCCGCCCGTGTTCCCCCGCGTCGGGACCGGAGGCAGAAGCAGCGCTCTGGGTTGGGGGCCTATGTAACCCTAGTTCCTCGAGGGAACGAGACGCTGCGTCTCTGTGCCATACTTCCGGCGTCCCTGCCGGCGCTTGCTTCAT